TTTAGTTAAGGTGTTTTGACAAATAGTTTGATTAAGCCATTTTTCGTTTTCTTGCCTTTATTTGTGTTCGTAGTGATGGTTTAACATACGGTTCTTCCTTTTGAATAAAATGCGGAGGCATATCATTGGTAATCATAGTTTCAACAACATCATTAAGTTTATAGTCATGGACGGATCTTTACTATTTCCATCCATGGTTTCATATTGTCTCGTTATGTCGATTAGAAATCTGATCAATATGTGAATTGTTGTAATCCAATTTTGTTTTCTTTTCTCATACTGAAATATCCAGGAAATCCGATACTAGGTCAACCCAATGGTAATAAGGGAGTTGGTTATTCAGCAGCCGTTGTCGGCCAACCTGTAGATTTCGTTAAAGCGTTAACAAACGGAGGATCGGGCGCATTTGTAATAGGAGCAGATACAGGCCCATATAACTTTGTTGTTGCCTAATAAAAGTGTCCGGATTAGCATGTTGGCTTGTAGTGTTGTTGGTGCACCATATATTTTTAGCGCTCAATCTGGGAAGATTGTGCTCGTTAATGATCAAGAAAACTTTGAGATAGTGAATCATTAAAGGAAGCAGCATTATTGTAAAATAGAGGTGGTGAATTAAGAGCTTGCACACGAGAAGACAAATTTTCATTATTAGATATGAATCCGTCTATTAGTCCCCATGCATTATTTGTTGAGTTCAGATCCCCACTAGTTGCCCAAAAACGCTACCAAACTGATATCTAGTAAATGGTGTATTTTGTACCGAAGTCGTTCCATCAAAAGAATGAATCGCTGTTGATAATTATCCAAAAACGACTGTGCTGTACTGGGATAAGTCAGAAGCAACCCGGAATGGATCAATAACCAAATTGGATGAATTATTAGGTATTTGAATTGGCGCAGAAAAAGGTCTTTCATCTCATCTACACCTGTCGTTCATATCAAAACACTTAAAGGTTCAAACGTAGTATCTTCAACCCTTTTAACTAAAAGACTATGAATAAAAATCCACCCTTATAACATTCATTCATTTCCTGATTACTAAATGGCCCTAAATGTTTTATTAAAATGAACAGATCATTACAGTGTAGACCATCAAACAAAGCCTAAAATGATTTAAAAATTTTTTTAAACATATCTTGAATCTAACCAGTTGGATCACGGTGCAACTATTATATTGTTCGGGCGCTACATTTCTTGGTTCAGCATTTATTCCTGTGCCAGAAACGACTGCTTCCCAGAATTACTTTCACCAAAAACATTAAAACCTGTCGAAACTAGAAGTTTAGACGTTTCGGCAAATACAAAATAGGTTTCGTCAGGCAACAATATCCACAGCAGAGGTTAAATCACGTTACCCATATGGCTCTTTCACGCTGCTGATCTCAGTAGGATTGATTCTTCAGGAAATAGGTCATGCCCAATAAATTTTCAGCAGATTATAAAACCTTATTTTTTAAAAATTTTTTTTTTGTTTACCATCATGTGATTAAAAAATTATTATTTTGCTGTTAATTAATAAAATCAAATTTATCAAAGATAATAAATTTGTAAGAATGGTTGTAAGAACAAAATCATGCTCTAAAGCAATGATGAAATGGATTATTTTTTTATTTTTCCTGATAAATTTGATTTTAGACATATTGTCATAGGACATAGTAAAAATGTTTGAAACGTATTATTATCGATATCATTATCCATCTATATACAATTTATTGTTCTCATCAAATTTTTTTTAGTCGTGAAATCAACGATAATTACTAAATAAGGAAAGTATCTTATAATTTAAGTCGATACGCAGGGTTCATCTCCTTGTTTACAGTTTTTTTGTTTCAAAAAAGTTTTATATTTCTTATTATTAATAAAACTACGAATTGTTCGAATTGTTCAAAAAGTCGATTAATATTGTTCGAAATTGAAGTTTGACATATTCATCAATAATATGCATTGAAAATTTCGTAACCATCAAATTAAAGGGGAGATGAATTTATCTATTGTTATCAATATATAGTCCGTTTTGTAATACAAGTTTGTTAATATCTAACTGAAAAAAA